AAAGAGACTTGGGGGTCATCATTGACCACAAGATGAACATGAGCCTGCAATGCGATGCGGCGGCTAGTAAAGCGACCAAAACGCTGGCTTGCATCCATAGATGCTTCTCAAGCAAATCCCGGGACGTCATTCTCCCCCTGTACTTGGCCTTGGTGAGGCTGCAGCTGGAGTACTGGGTCCAGTTTTGGGCTCCACAATTCAAAAAGGACGTGGAGAAGCTTGAGAGAGTGCAGAGAAGAGCCACGCGCGTGCTCAGAGGTCAGGGAAGCAGACCCTACGATGACAGGCTGAGAGCCCTGGGGCTCTTTAGCCTGAAAAAGCGCAGGCTCAGGGGTGATCTGATGGCCACCTACAAGTTTATCAGGGGTGACCACCAGCATCTGGGGGAACGTTTGTTCACCAGAGCGCCCCAAGGGATGACGAGGTCGAATGGTCACAAACTACTTCAAGATCGTTTCAGGCTGGACATAAGGAAGAATTTCTTTACTGTCCGAGCCCTCAAGGTCTGGAACAGCCTGCCACCGGAGGTGGTTCAAGCGCCTTCATTGAACACCTTCAAGATGAAACTGGATGCTTATCTTGCTGGGATCCTATGACCCCAGCTGACTTCCTGCCCTTTGGGCAGGGGCTGGACTCGATGATCTTCCGAGGTCCCTTCCAGCCCTGATGTCTATGAAATCCATGAAATCTAGTTCTGTGTGTGTGTACACGCATGTGTGGATGCATGTGTGCATAGATGTGTGTGCATGTGCTTACTTGTGGGTGCATAGATCAGTGTGTGGGTGCATAGATATGTGCATACATGTATATGTATATGTGTGTGCATTGTTTGTGAGTATGTGTGCATAGATCTGGGTGTGGGTGTGTAGATATGAGCTTGTACTTGTGTGTGCATGGGTGTGCACATCAATCTGCATATGTGTACACGTGTGTAAGCCCATGTGTGCGTAGATATATGTGTCTACACATAAGTACATAGAACTACATATGTGGGTGTGCACAGACTGGTGTGTGCATGCACGTGTGTGCACAGATCTGCATGTGTGTGGGTGTATAGAGCTGTGTGTGTGTGAACAGAGCTGTGTCTGCATGCATAGATCATTGTGTACCTACGTGTGTGTGTATTCATGTGTGCAGTGTACGTGTGTATGCATGTCCAGTGCATTCTAGATCTAGCTGACCTGGCACTGATGTGCCCCTGTTCCCCAGGTACCGGCTGACCCAGCTGGCTGTGGACCCTGGCGCCGGCCCCCACCGCAACCACACGGTGATGTTCCTGGGTGCTGAGGATGGCACGGTGCTCAAGGTGCTGGTGGGCAGCACAGCGAACACCAGCCTGGAGCCCGTGCTGCTGGAAAATATCAACCTCTATAGCCCAGCCAGGTGAGCCTGGGGCCAGGGCAGTGCTGGGCTCCTGTGCCAGGGTATCTCATTTGGCAGGGTGGGGGCATCTCAGCAGTTTAGAGCCCAGGGGGCTGGGAGCCAGGACTCCTGGGTTCCTCTCCTGGAATCAGGGGGCATGTGGTGTAGTAATTAGAGAAGGGGTTTCTCCCCAGACTTGCACCTTAACAGGGTGGAGAGGCTCTTGTGTGCCAATGACCCTAAAAGCAACACTGTCTGGAGTCTTGTACTCCTGGTAGGGTCACCCATGGTGGTAAGGTCAAAGGTGAGGAATCAGACAAGGAGCAGGTGGGTGCAGAAGGCACATTTCTCAATGGCTGCGGAGGCGGATGAAAACTGCAGTGGAGGAGTAACCCCAGTTATCTTGGATCCCTATGCCACTGGACACAAGTTTCTCCACAATGATCTATGTGGTTGTTGATGAGCAACAACCTCCTCATGCAAAGCGAGTCACACAATCTTCTCCCATTGGTGCAACATCTACTACAATAACTGGTGCTACTGGGAGCTGGGAGTGGTGCAAGTGCGGTGCTAAGGTGCTCAGTTGACAGCCAAGAGGTCACAAGTTTGAGGCCACAGCAGAAGAGCTTGCAGTGCAGCCTGTCATTCCAACAAACCTGCAAATTCTGTTAAATACATGGTCACGAGGATGCAAGGAAGAATTGGTGGTTGCTTTCCTACCTATTTAAAAATGATTACAGGATAGATGGGAACCTTTTCGGTGTTTCCCACCTCCACGCCAAAACCAGAGATAACTTCGGTCTCGATTGTAAAACTTCAGTCCGCCGATGATTGTGCTGTCGCTGCACATACAGAGGACCTGTGAAGGGCCCTTAACTGCCGCTCTCCAGCATATCAGTGCCTGGGACTGACCCTTAACATGGGAAAAACAAAGGTGCTTCAGCAGCCTGCTCCAGGGCAATCCACCCCCCCTTCCCTGGCAAAGATCCTCGGTGACAGACAGGAACTGGAGAAGGTTGAACCCTTTTCGCAGCCGTCTCTCCAAGATGGCCAATGTCGACAAGGAGATCCAGTATAAGATCCGATGTGCCAGCTCTGCCTTCAGAAGACTGAATCACTGTGTGTTCAATGATCACAGCATCGGGACTCAAACAAAGCTCCTGCTCGAACAAGGCTGTGGTGACCCCAATTCTTCTCTACGTCTGAAGCTTGGGTGACCTGCAGGGACCGCCTGGAACGCCATCACCAGTGCTGCCTTGGCATAAAGTGGGAGGATCGTCACACAGGTGCCAGTGTCCTCACTGATGGTAACACCACCAGCATGGAAGAGTTGATTATTCACCATCCGCTCTGGTGGACAGGGCACTGTGTGCGCATGCCTGATACGCATTTACCAAAACAACTGCTGTATCCTGACTCCACCAAGGACAAAGGATACGTGGGGGCCAGAGGAAACGCTTGAAGGACACCCTCAAGGCAAACATTACGAAGTGTGGTATAGACACCACAAATTGGGAAAAGTAGCCCAGGGTAGGGCTACGTAGGAATGCCTTGTGAGAGGAGGAGGTACATCTTACTTGGAGGAAAACTGTCTTGCCCTGGAGGCAGAAAAATGACAGGAAGAAAGGAAAGGAAACAAGACTGAGAAATCCATGGTCCCGTGAACCACCACCTGGGTCGTCTACCAGAGTTTGCAGCTCTAGGATCGGCCTTCTTAGCCATCAACGGACTCATCTGCAGCCCTTTATTTGACCTGTGGGAGTGATTTGTCCATGACCTGCGGGATCGCCAACAATGAGAGAAGGGGGCTGGGAGCCGGGACGCCCGGGTGCCATTCCTGGAATCAGGGACACGTGGTGTAGTGGTTAGAGAAGGGGACTAGGAACCAGACACCTGGCTTCTAGTCCAGGCTGTGCCACTGCTAGGTTGCTTGACCCCGGGAGAGCTGCCTTGCATACTCTGTGCCTCGGTTTCCCCGCCTGTGTGACATCTCTGTTCTCCTTTCTCCCATCCCCCTCTCCCCATCCAGGGCTAGTGGTGGGGTGGGAAGGGCTGGCTTGGTTCTGATCCGGGTGCTCTGCTCCACCCCAGGTGCACCATGAGGCAGGAGGACAGGCGGATCCTGGGCCTGGAGCTGGACACAGCGCATCATGTGCTGTATGTGGCCTTCTCAGGCTGCATGGTGCGCGTGCCGCTGAGCCGCTGTGAGGCCCATGGCGCCTGCAGGAGGTGAGGGGCTGGGGAGAGAGGGAACAGGGACTGCCCAAGCTGCTACCTCCGGCTCTGCCATGCTCAGCGGGTCTGAGGGAGTGGGGCAGGCAGCAGGGTTTGGGGGAGCAGCCATGAGTGTGTGTGCAAGTGTGAGGGCTTGTGTGTGCAATGGGGAGTCGGGAGTGTGACTAAGAGAGGGAGCTTGAGAGGGAGAGAAGAGGGTGTGTCAGGGCAATATCTGTGTGTGCGCGTGTGTGTGAGAGAGAGAGAGAAAGTGGGCGTGTTTGTATTTGAGAGAAAGTGTATGTGTGTGTGTATGTGTGTAGGGAGCACACGTGCACAGGGGTGTCTCAGCCATGGACTCTGCCCCATGCTACATCCCTGGCCTTGTGTGTGTGTGTGTGTGTGTGTGAGTGTGTGTGTGTGTGTGTGTCACAGGAGAGCATGTGAATGTGTGTCAGAGGGAAGTGTCTGTGTGTTTGTGGGAGTGGAGGGGGATGTCTCAGCTGCAGGCATTGCCCCTTGGATGTGACCTCCACCCCCTCTGGCAGCTGTGTGTGTGTGTGCATGCGCACACATGGAACACATGTACAAGGATGTTTCAGCTGCAGACTGCCCCATAGCTGCATCCCCGGGCCCGAGAGATGTGTGCGTCAGAAGAGTGTGCAAGTATGTGTCAGAGCAGGGTGTCGGTGTTTGTGGGAGCAGAGGCAGGTGTCAGCTGCAGGCAGCACCCTTTGGCTGTGTCCCTGCCCTGGCAGGCCTGAGTGTGAGAGGGGAATGTGTGTGCATATGCATGTGTGCATGTGTGTTTAGCTGGGCAGTGGCAATGTCTGGTATGAATATGTGTGTGCCTGCATATGTAGCAGGGCAGGGGAAGTGCCGTGTGTGCATGCACACACAGGGGGTGTCTCAGCAACAGGCACATCCCTTGGCCACATCCCTGAGGGTGAGGGTGGGGTGTGTGCGCACATGTGTGTGCAGGGGGTGTCTCAGCTGCTGGCATGGCTCCTTGGCTGCCTCCCCACCCCGACAGGTGTGGGCATCAGCCCTGGCGGTTCCAGGAAACCCAACGTGCCGCGCTCCCCCCTGACCTTTCTGCTCCTTTTGCTGGCACACTTGCAGGCTCCTATAAAAAGCCGTGCAAAGCCCTGCACAAACAGCCTGCCCCTGGAGCCCCCCTCTCTGTCCCTGGCCTAGAGCTGCAGGCATCGGGCTCGCCAGGGCAGGCTGGGGGTCAGGACACCTGGATTATGTCCCCAGCTCCACCAGGCATTCATGTGCCTTTTCCTCCCTTTGTCTCAGTTTCCTCTCTGTGAACCCATCTCCTTCGTTGGCTGGACTGGTGTCCTAGCCAGGCCCAACTGGGTCAGCAGATGGCATAACGCTCCCTGGGTCCATTTGCTGCCCAAGGCGGGTGAGGAGGGGCGTTTCCTTCCTGACCCTCAGCCATGTGCCCTGGGGCGTGCGAGTGGGTGGTTGCGTGCATGGTGCTGCACATGTCTTACCTGCATTTCCACCTGCGGCAGGAGCTGCCTGGCCTCCCGAGACCCGTACTGTGTCTGGCTGAGGACAGGAGCATGTGTGGCGTTTGGGAATGACATCAGGTAGGAAACTGGGGCGTGTGGGCATTCGTGTGAAAAAGTCACCCTCCTTGTGTGTCAATCCAAGGCCCTGTGTAAACACGCCTGTGCTGTCAGAGGGCCCAGGTCTCCCCTGCAGCTCCTGCTGGCTGGCCCTTCCCTTCTTCCCCTCCAGTCCTCTGCCTCTGAGTCTTTTACTGCTAGCCCACCCCGCACCTGCCCAAGTGCACGTCCCTGCCTGTGCACTGGGGCTTCTGTGAAAGCCCCTTGATGCTGGTGTAAATCCCTTCTCAGGGCAGATCTAGGCGGCCCCGTGATGCCTCCCTGATGGCAGAAAGTTTGGTAATGAACAGGTCCAGTTCCCCATTCCCCTGCCTCTCACACACTTGCTTCGCCAGGCCACCGGTGCAGCCAGCTACTGGGGAATGCCATGGACATGGGCAGCATTTGCCAAGTGCCAGCCAGGCAGGGCTTTGCGTGTGCCCACCCTGGCACCGAGCCCTGGAGACCCTCCCTTTCCCTGCGGCCTTCGGCTGCCAGGCATAATCAGAGCTGGGCCTTGGGCTGGCGCCAGCATCCGGCCCAGTGCTACAAGGAAGCCAGAGGGCACGAAATCTGTAATTAGCCTCATTAAGGCAGCAGCACAAACGAGCGTGCCCAGACACTAGGCCTCCCAGCTGCAGTTAATTAGGCTCTGGTGCTGGGGAGCAGCTGCTGGGAAATGCTGGGCCGGGGCCTGGGAACGTGGGGTGTGGGCAGAGGTGTCCCAGCAGGCTCCCTGGGAAGCTACCGGTCCCCCTGTCCCCATCCCCGTGGCCCCGGACTCCTGGGTCCCCCCCTGCTGTGCAGTGAAGCAGGAACCTCTGCATCCGGCCCATGCAGGAGCAGGGGCCTCTGGGCAGTGCCGGGGCTGGGACTTGGGTGGGGGGTTGGTGAAGGGTTTGGTGGGGCAGGGGGAAGGAAGAAGCCGGGGTTGCGGGGCTCGTGCACTGGGGAGTCAGGGTTGGGCTGAGCCAGAAGGAGGTGCTGGGGGTCCTGAGCTAGGGGCAAGTCTGGCCGAGGGGCATCGAGGCGGTTCTCCACCCCGGGAAGTTTAGGTCCAGACCAGGGGGCTTTCCAGCCCCTCTGCGCTGGGTCACCCACAGTCCCCAGGCTTGGAGTGGGGAGAGGCTTGGAGAAGGCCTGGGGCTGGGGTTAGGGCCTCGTGGCTTTGCAGGTCTACTTGCCCTCCCACCTTGCACCCCCACGTGCGTGTGTGAGCAGCTCCCTGCCCCTGCCAGAGCTGGTGTGACTGCCCCTGTGTCCCTGCTTGGGGAACTGAGGCATGGAGTGAGGGCGCGACTCAGCCAGGGGCACTCAGGGACAGAGCTGGGGAGAGGACTCAGGAGTCCTGACGCCCACCCTGCTCTGCTCTAACGGTGCGATTGTTGCCCTTCTCAGGGACCCAGGAGTCCTGAGCCCAGGCTCACACCACCCCGCTCACTTTAACCACTGCACCCACTTCCACCCATTTCAGGGGGCTCTAGCTGCCCGGGCAGGACGTTCTGTGAGGCTGTTGGGGATCATCATTGCTTGGAGGGTGGAAACCCCATGTGGTGGGGGTCTCTGCTGTGGGGTCCTGCGTGTCACCCCCTCTCTGCCCCCACACAGGCCCTGATCTCCTGGGTTTGTCCCTCCTGTCCCCCTGCCTCTGCTTCCAGACTTAAGATGCAAACACCCAAGCAGTAAATTGCCTCCGACATCAACCCAGTCTCTGTGCAGGAGCCGCCACATGCTCCAGGGCAGGCCACGCTCCCATGAGCAGCGTTGCAGCCACGGCTGGCTCCCGGCACAGATGAGGCCATGGTCCTGTGCACCCCACCCCAGCGAACGAGCCGAGCACATAATGGCAGCTCTCGGTCCCTTGCCCACCCTCTCTCTCCTTCCCCTCCAGGGCTGGCTTCGAGCAGGATGTGGAGAACGCAGCCGGGAACCTCGGGGGCTGCCAAGGTGAGTGGGGACTGGAGCAGGTCGAGGGCAGGACCCAGCGGGCCAGGCTGCCTGTGTTTCCCTTGGAGGTCTCTTTGCTGCCCGTGGGGGTGCTGACTTCATCCTTAAGGGGAAGAGGAGGGGGCTTAGGGTAGCTTGGACACAGGGGGTTGGTCCATCTGGAGGGATTCGTGGCTGCACTGTGGGCCCGGAGCGGTGGGCGCGTGGGCACACAGCAAGTTACCGCGGGGCAAGCGGACTTAGCTCCATCGTGAATGGGCTCAGCCCTCTGCCGCTGTGGGGCACCTCTCTCTGGGGCAGGGGTGCCCCCTCCAGAGCCAGGAGCTGTGCCCCGGGGCAAGTTCTAGCAGCGTGTCTGCTCCCCTGGGCCATTTGATCCCGGGGTAAGTGTTCAAACCATGCAGGGCACAGTGGAGCGTCATGTGCCTGCACCTTGATGACACCAAGTCCCTTTTCTTGCAGATGTCGCAACTGCCACGGGGAACCGCAACGGCGCCAGCGACTCGGCGTACGGTCAGTGATCCCCTTCTCCCTGCCGCCCCGAGACACCCACCGGGCCTTGGAGACGTGTCCCCCAGGAGCAGGGGTGGCCAGCCTTGCCTCTTGCCCCATGGCCCTGGGGGAGGGCAGGGGTGCACTTGTCCCTGTTCTCTTGGGACACCCCGGGGGCAGGGGACAGAATAAGAGGCTGTCTGTTGGGCACCATATTAGGCCTCAGCAATGCAGTGGTGGTGGGGTGGGTGCTTTGAGGTGCCGTATTGGGAGCCCCCTTGATGTGCTGGTAGACACCCCCTCCTCTGGAGCACCAGGACGTGTGCTGGCATCCTGGAGTCTGGGTGGCCTTGGGGAGACTCCTCACTGAAGGCCTGTCCTGACGTGCTGGGCCAGCAATGGGGCGCATCACGGCCAGGTCCAGTGAGGTGCGTCATCCCCAGATGGCTCCCAGCAGGCCTGCGGTGTCCAGAGAGGGATCCTAGCAGCCCACAAGGCTTAAACATGTGGGGAGAAAGAGGCTGCTGGGGGGGACCTGCCTCATGGGGCCACACGTCACCACTAACTGCATCCTGTAGCATCTGTCGCTAACCCTGTCACCCCCCATCACACCACGTGCCACCCCCTCTCCACGGCACCTGGAGCACCCGTGGCCTTTCCGTGGCAGGACAAAGCAAATCTGGCTTGGCATGAGCCAGGCAGGGGCCTCCGGTTTGGATCCCATGAGCTTGCAGCTGCTCTGGGTTAGCTCTGGTCTCTGGTGGGTTTCTGGGTGCCCCATGGCTGGGGGCTGTCAGCAGATCGGGCACCGACAGGTGGGGGCAGAGGAAGAGCTGCGGAGATGGTCGTGGGGGGCAGAGGGCTGCTCGGCAGGCAGGGGCTGGAGGCAAGCCCCTCCAGCCCCAGCTCAAAGCCCTCTTGGCACCCTGTGGGGAGCTGGGCACTGCTGTGCTGGGCTTGAACAGTGCAAGCAGTGGGGCAAGGGTGTGTGTGCACACGCACACATGGGTACACACGTGGGCATGTCTTTGCATGCACTTGTGAACCTATATAACCACGTCCACCTAAGTACACCTGTGCGTTCGAGCATGTACATGCACCTGCCTGTGTGTGTGTAAACACTTGTTGTGTGTAGATATGAGCCTGTTTAAAACTTCTGGGTGGCTGTGTGCACATATAAGTGTGCACATGTGTATACACATCTATGCCAGTGTGTAGGGCCTGGCAATGAGCGGGACACCCCGGGGCTGGTCTTGCCCTGACCTTCTTGTTGCTGGTCACACAGGGAACACCGGCCCCACCGCCAGCGTCGTGCCCTACCTGGTTCCCACAGATCAGCCCCCAGTGGGCACAGCCCCAGATGCCCACCCTGCCCCTGGCGCTGGGGACCCGCGCTCCACCTTGCGCGTGGCTGTCAGCACTCAGGGTAAGAGGGCTTGGCACGTACAGCACCAAGCACCCTGGCCTGGCATGGGCACTGGTAACCCGGGTACGGGGGCTTGGAATGGCTGAAGGGACCCCAGGGTGCGGTCTAACACCCCCGCCCTCCTCCCCCGGCCTGAGAAGCATGGCACCAACTGGTGTGCTAACAGCCAGCAACTGGTGCATTCCCATTCAAGCATGCTTGGGCCATGGCAGGAACACAGGGCATGAGCTTGACAGTGCGTAGAGAGAGAATGCGTGCCCAGGAGTGTGTGTGTGTGTGCGTGTGTGCGTGTGTGCGTGTGTGCGTGCACAGTGGAGTGAAGGGAGGGGTGTGTGTTTGTGTGTATGTGCAATGGGCTAGGGCAGGGTCTGTGTATGTTTGTGTGTGCACAGTGGGGTGAAGGGAGGGTATATGTGTGCGCCCAAGAGTGTGGTGTGCGTGTGCAGTGGGGTGAAGGTAAAGGGGTGTGTTTGTGTGTATGTGGTGTGCATGGGTGGGTGGGTGTCCAAGGGCTGTGTGTTTGTTTGCACACGTGTGTTTTGTGTGTGTAGTAAGGATGCTGCTTTGTGTACATTGGGGAGTGAGGAAGGTGTCATGGCTTAGCCCCCATGAGAGGATTGTGCGGCCATGGCACAGATGAGGCATGTGGTGTGTTGGTGGGTGGCTGTCCAGGGTGATGTGTTTGTGTACATGAGTGCCTGTGTGCCAGGGGTGTGGAGTGGGCATTTGTGAATGTGTGTGTGGGGTAGGTGTTGGTACAAGGGGACTGTGGGCAGGGTGTATGATGTGGGTCTGTGGGTGGGCGTGCAGGTGGCACTCATGGGTATGGGAGGGCCATGCACAGGAGGGAGAGGGTTATGCATCATGCCTGTGTACAAGCATGTGCACACGGGCAGGAGGGCATGGGCATCCTGTTGGCTCTGGACAGGGTGCTGGCAGGTCAGACTCCTGGGCTCCATTCCCCACGCTGGAAGGAGAGTGGTGTCTGGCCAGGATCTGCCGTGCTAGGCCAGCGCTGGGGTGGCAGTGGAGCCCAGTGGAGAGATCGGGGGATGGTTCTCAGGACTCCTGGGTCTTGCCCCTGCCCCCCAGGGTTCGTCCACATGAGCAAGCCAGGGTGGGAATTCAGGGGGCTCTGCTATCCTGGGGTAGCTTTTCCAGTATGTCCATAGGGGGTTTACCCCAGAGCTGTCCAGATCTGCATCCGCATCAGCTCTCTCACATCAGCACTGTGGTGTAAATACTCCGGCTCCTTACGCCTGGAATGGGCTTTGCCTGCCAGGCTGGCTGGGGAGGGTGAGGCCCAGGGTGAGGAGGTGACCTGGTCATGGCATGTCAGACAATGACCTCGGCTCCCCTTCCCTCCCGTTCTGTACCGACATGCGACCGCCTCTCGGGTGGGACATAGCAGCTGTGTCTGCAGAGCGCCTCCCAGCGCCCCCTGTCCCACAGCTCCCTCTGGTTGGGGGTGCTCCTGCCCTTGTAGCACGTGCGGCTGCCTCTGGGGTGAAGCGTCCCACTGGGGTGGAGTGTGATTGTTGGCCCTGGAATAGGCCTGGACCTGGGTTTGCCTGTGGCTCAGGCAGGAAGGGCGGGGGGGGGCTGGACATGCGGTCATGCTTGTCTGCGGGGCCGGCACCAGCCCCCTCCCTCTCCTTGTATTCCCAGCCTCTCTGCCCTGCGCTCCTCTGTGCAACCGCCCCCGCAGCCGCGGCCAGAGCCTCTCGGGCTGGCCCTCTGCCACCCGTCCTGCTGCCTTGGGGGCCCCCACTCCCTGCCTGCCCCCCCGCCCCGTGTGGGTTGTGGAGGGGACTGGATCCCTGCCAGGCCCCACGCGGCTGGCTCCAGCTCTGGCTCCCTGTGCCGGTTAGAAATAGCCGAATCAGCTCCAAGACTCTCCTCCCCACAGCCGTGGGAACCCCGCTCCCCCCGTGAGAGCGGGCAGGGACAGAGGCCCTAGTGCCCAGCGCTGCCTGGACAGCGGAGGGCCTCCAAGGGACAGGGGGAGGGGACAACAGGCGTCCTCCCTGCCCCGGCGAGATTAACCACGTCATGGGGAGGCCACAGCCAGTCGTGTCGTTCCCCCCACCCCCCCTCCGCCCGCTTGTGCAATAGTCTGGATTGCTGGGAGTGGCGCCATTTATGCCCGTGGGGGTTTGGCCCCTTGTCCCCTGCAGCCTCCCAGGCCCGGAGCCAGCCCCCAACCCAGGCCTGTGGGCACCCCTGGACCTCCTTCTCCTCCATGCCTGGCCAAGCCAGGGGAGGTGCCCACAACCCCCATGGCAGGGCACGCTCAGGGTTGTCTGCTGCAGAGGAGGAGACGCAGTGCCGGACTCCCGGGTTCTCCCCATGTCTTGGAGGAGTCGTGTTAGGGGTAGAGCAGTAGCGCTGGAGTCAGGATGCCTGGGTTCTGCTTCTGGCCACGGAGGGCTGCGTGGTTAGAGCAGGGAGCTGGGGCCATGACACCTGGTTCTGCACCCGGTTTTGGGGGTGTTTCCTATTTGTGAAGCAGGCAGGGAAAGCCCGGGACTCCTGGGTTCCACACCTGGCTCTAGGGGAGCGTGGCTTGGTGGTTACTGGGGATCACTGGTGTTCAGGACTCCTGGGCTCCTTGGTGGCTCTGGAGGGGAGTGTGGTGCAGTGGTCTGAGTGGGGGAGTATGCAGGGGGACAGCAGCTTGCTGAGGTCCCGGGTCTGGATGCAGGGACCAGGACTCAGTCAGTGAGGCTGGGGGCCTGCCAGGCACTGCCCACCCATCCCCATGGCAGGGCTATTGCTGCTGCATGGGACTGTTGCTTGCCCTTCCTCTGCCACATGCTTTCTGCCATGGCCCCACAGCTCGGCCCTTAACTCACCCTGGCACATCCGTACTAACTGCATGGAGCACATCACTGGGGCGCGTGGGGAGCCTGGGGCATCGGGCAGCTGGCATGACCTGGGCTCTGGGAGGGGGGCGGTTTTACCCCTTCTGCCCTCTGGCGGCAGCATCCCAGGCCCTGCGGCCTCACACCCCACCCAGGTCTCAGCCCACCACTCCCTGCCCCGACTCTCCATCATGGTGCCCAGCCTGCCCCTCTGGCTGAGCGCAGCCACCATGGAGGGGTCCCAATTGCCCCGTCCTACCCCCCTCCACCTGGCACCAGAGTTAGTCACTGGTACGCATCCAAGCCTGAGTCCCTCCTGCATGTGTGCCCCCACGGGAGGGCAGCCCCAAGCCTGGGCCCGCCCGCCACCTACCAATCCATTGTCCCTGCCCCCAACCCCTGGGCCCTGGTGCCTTTGGGAGCAGAACCAGGGAGGGGGGAGAGTGAGCGGCATTGCCCTGCCTCCCCTCTCCAGTTTCCCTTCCTCTTCCTGGTCCTCTCCTCCATCTTCTCCCCAGGGTGGGACCCCCCATCATTACCCAGCATTACCTTTCTCTCAGGTTGGGGGGGGCATTGCTCCCTGGAGCTGCCTGACCAAGCCCCGTGACTGTGATAGGAAGGGGGCAGGCCAGACGCAGCCCCCTCGGCGGGCTTCCCCAAAAAGTGAGGGGCTGCATTGGCCAATGGGGACCACCAGGGGCCCAGCCTCCAGTGGGAGCCATCATGGTCCTCCTTGTCCTCTGTCTCCAGACCCGGCGTCTCTGTCCCAGGTCTGCTAGGTGCTGCCAGGGCGCACAGCTATTTGCTAGGAGCCTCAGGGGCTCAGGCTGTTCCCAGCCCATGTCCCTCTGCAGGACTCCACATGGGGCAGGCATCATGGGGTGTAACGCAATGTATGTGTATTTGGGGGGGGGGGGGGGGAGTGGATGAGATGATGCCATGGCCCCCTGAGCCAATTAGAGGCTTGGTTGAACCCATGGTGCTGATGTCACCACCATTGAGGTCACTCTGGCCAACTTCAGCTGGAGTAAGGCCAACCTGGGCTCCGGGAGACCCTCCGAGTGTCGCCTGGCACAGGGCGGGCAGCCCCAGCCTTGTCCGCCCTCCTCTGTATGGGGCCAACTTCCACCCTGGGTGCAACTCCATCCCCACCACAGCGTCCATCCCTCACTGCCACAGCCCCATCCCATCCCATCCCATTGGCACTGTGCTGCCCTGTGGGCAGGCACGGGGCCCTGGCGCTCACCCCTGTGTGTGTGTTGTGTTGTGTCCCCAGGGGTGCGGCAGGATGTGGAGGGCAGAGACAGCGCCAAGACTGTGCACTTCACCTTCCTCATCGGCTGCGTCCTGGTGGCTTTCGTCCTGGGCGCTGCCTCTGCCGGCCTCCTCGTCTCCTGCTACTGCAGCCATCTCTTCCAGAAAGCCAAGCGAGCTGGCAAGGAGCCTGAGGGTGCCCTCCCACGCCCGCTGTCCCTGCGCAGCCTGGCCAAGATGAACGGGCTGCTGGATGCCCCGCCAGGCAAGGACGGGCGGCCTGAGGGCCCCTCGCCCAAGCTCTACACCACGCTGCTGCCCCATGAGAAGGAGCCGCCCCGCGCCAAGGAGCATCCGGAGCTCTCGGGGCTGCCCACGCCCGAGTCCACCCCTGAGCTGCCCGTGAAGAACGTGGTGGCTGTTCGGAGCCCATGGGAGAGGAACCACAACTCCAACAATGCCAAGGAGGCCCAGGGCAAGGCCCAGCTGTTCCCTGGCACTGCCACCCAGGGCTACCCCTTTGCCAGCGGCCTCCGCGGCTATGACATGGTGCCGGGAGGCTGCGGGGAGGAGAAGAAGGCGCCGCATGCAGAGAGGGTGCTAGTGCGCCCGTCAGCTGGCATGGAGGTGACCACCCTGGAGGAGCTCCTCAGGCATCTCCATGAAGCCACCGGGCCCCCGCACACCACGCTGGGTGGGATGCCTCTGGCCCAGCCAGCTGCCAGCCCCCCTGGCGCACTGTCCTTTGCCAACCGGGTGCAGCCCAAGATCCCCGACACGGAGAGTGCTCCCTACTACAGCTCCTCCACCCTGCCCAGGGACAGCCTGCCTCAGCGCCTGGACGTGCCCCCCGACCCTGCCCCCCAGCCCTGCCCAGAGAAGCAGCCACTGCCCCGGCCTCCAGGCCACAGACACTCGCTGGTGAACGTTGGTGGGGGGGGGCGGCGGGCGCTGGGGCGGGCGGCGGGCTCCTCTCACGGCAGCACAGCTTGAGCCAGGCCACGCGGCCACACCCACCGCTGCTGACACGTGTGCACTCTGCGGGCACGCCGGGGCCCCTGGCCGGCCATGCCGCCTTCCTCCCGCGCCAGCGCCAGGGCTCTCTGCCCCAGGCTGCAGGCGGCGGCATCAAGGGGGCAGGTGCTGCCAAGCCCAGTGTGCCGCCCAAACCGGTCTTCATGCCCTCGTCCCCTGTGAAACCTGCCGGGCAGTTCAACTACTGACCTGCCCCGTGGCTGGGGTGCAGGGCTCTGCTTACACCCTGGCTGGAGCCCCCCGGCCTGGGCCCAGGGAGAACAAGAGGCAGCAGAGACAGCCGTGGCATCAGGAGCACGTGGCTGGGAGCAAGACCATTGGGCTAGCGGTGGTCACGGGAGCAGGGACACACTCCTGGGAAGGCCACATCCCTGACAACCTCCCTGCTACCATGGAGCTGCAGGGCGATATCCCAGTACCAGCCCGGGCACTATGCCAGCCCTTGCCTGTCTTTGGCTGTCAAATCTCCCTGTGTGCTGGGGGCAAGGGACAGGGCCACGCTCTCCCTGCCCCCATTGCAAACCCCAGCCTGGGGCTTTATTTATTAGACTTGAACTGCTCTTTAATTTAAACCAGGCAGCACCACTGTAGCATTGGCCCACGCGGGAGCCTGATGCTGGCGCAGCCGGCTCCCCCCACAGCGACGCTTGTCGGCTGCACATCAATGTATTCCAGGCCCGGCAGGGCTGGGGAAGCCGATTTTGGGGCAGGAGGAGGGGGCTGATTTGGAAGGACAGCGCAGTCGGAGCTGAGGGCTCGGATGGAAGAGGCCTCATACAGAAGCGGGACAGTGGGCAGGGACGCAGAGGGCAGTGTTTCCTACTGTGTAGGAGCCCGGACTGCGCTGGGGGCGCATCTGGACATGGATGCACCCCTGCCACTGTCTGAATTATACGGTCTTCCTGTCCCTGGTCTTGGGTCTGTGTTTGGGGGCAATTCTCTGGAAACCGGCTTTCTACAGAGAGGGGCAGCGGGTGGGGACTGGGCGGTGAGTGCGTGTCAGTGCCCGCTGAAGGCAGCACGAGACTGGTGTCATCCTCGCTGCAGCTGGTGCCTTCGCACGGCTCCATCAGTCGGGGGGGTGGGGGGTGGTAAAGCAGCTCCCTCACCCACCCCAGGACCTAGAGGGACCCCATCCCCTCCACTACAATAAGCTGTGGGGTGAGACCATGGGCAGGGATTTAAACCCGATGCATCAGCCCCATGGATGCTCTGGCTGAACTGGAGTAAATGGGGAACAGGTTTGAGCTGGGCTGGTTGGACTGGATGCTAGGTCACAGCCCCCCTGGGTATCGGGGAGCCTGGACTGGGGGAAACCCTTTGCAGGGCTCATAGTTTCATAGTTTCATAGTTTCAGGGTCGGAAGGGACCTAATAGATCTTCTAGCCCGCCCCCCCGCCAGGGCGGGAGAACAACCCAAAAACACAAACAAAACCACTCACCCTAAAAACAAAAACGGGACTCAAATGAGTCCAGCCAGGTAAGTATCCAGCCTCTTCTTAAAGATCCCCAGGGTAGGGGCCAGCACCACCTCCCTTGGAAGTTGGTTCCAGCTCCTAGCCGCCCTGACTGTGAAGTAGTTTTTTCGGATGTCCAATCTGTACCTCCTCTCCATCAACTTGTGCCCATTACTCCTTGTTATGCCAGCAGGGGCTAGGGGAAACAGCGTCTCCCCCAAACCCTTCTGGTTCCCCCTAGTGAGTTTATAGACGGTCACCAGGTCCCCCCTCAGCCTTCTCTTGTGGAGGCTGAATAGGTTCAAGTCCCGCAGTCTCTCACTGTAGGGTCTGCCCTGTTGTCCCCGGATCATGCGGGTGGCCCTCCTCTGGACCCTCTCCATGTTGTCCACATCCCTCCTGAAATGGGGCGCACAGAACTGGACACAATACTCCAGCTGCGGCCTGACCAGCGTCGCATAGAGGGGGAGGATCACCTCCCTGGCTCTACTCGAGATGCACCTGTGGATGCACGACAAGGTCCGGTTAGCCCTGCCAACCATGACCTCGCATTGTCGGCCCATGTTCATCTTGGAGTCAATAATGACACCAAGATCCCTTTCCGCCTCCGTGCTCTCAAGTAGGGAGTTCCCCATCGTATAAGTGTGCTGCTGGTTCCTACTACCCAAGTGCAGCACCCTGCACTTGTCCGTATTGAAACACATCCTGTTCCTGTTTGCCCACCCCTGTAACCTATCCAGATCCTTCTGCAATCTCTCTCTCCCTGCTAGCGTGCTCACCTCCCCCCAAATTTTGGTGTCATCAGCGAATTTAAACAGGTTGCTTTCCACCCCAACATCAAGATCGCTGATGAAGAAATTGAACAGCGCAGGCCCCAGGACCGAGCCCTGGGGGACTCCACTACCCACCTCCCCCCAAGTCGAGTATGATCCATCCACCACCACCCTCTGAGTGCGACCCTTCAGCCAATCTGCAATCCATCTGACTGTGTAGGCATCTATGCCACAGTCGCCTAGTTTATTAATTAGGATGGGGTGAGAGACGGTGTCAAAGGCCTTGCTGAAGTCCAGAAAGACTACATCCACCGCGACACCTGCATCCATGGCCTTTGTGACCTGATCATAAAAGGCAATCAGGTTGGTCTGACATGATCTCCCCCTAATAAATCCATGCTGATTGCCCCTGAGCATCATCTCGGATGCCGGCCCATCACAAATGTGCTCCTTGATGATCTTCTCAAAGAGTTTCCCCAGGATTGAGGTAAGACTGACGGGCCTATAATTGCCCGGGTCCTCCCTTTTCCCTTTTTTGAAGATGGGGACCACATTAGCTACCTTCCAATCGTCTGGCACCTGGCCCAAGCACCACGATCGCTCGTAGAGCCGTGCCAGGGGCCCTGCAATAACCCCAGCCAGCTCCCTCAGCACCCTGGGGTGGAGAGCATCCGGACCCGCTGACTTGAACGCGTCCAGCCCCTCCAGAAGCTCTCTAACCCGGTCCTCCCCAACCTGAGGTCTGAAGGCGATCCCCTCGCGTCCGGCTTCTATCACAGCAGGGAAGTCCCGGTCCCTGCACAAGAAAACGGAGGTGAAGAATTGGTTAAAGAGGTCCGCTTTATCCTCTGACGCAACCACCAGATTGCCCCGCATATCCTGCAGGGGCCCCACATTACCCGGCGCCTTCTTCATCCTCCCAATATATTTGAAAAAGGACTTTTTGTTATCCTTAATCCTGGACGCTAATCCGAGCTCTATCTCCGCCTTGGCCTTCCTAACAGCCCGCCTGCAGGCCCGAGCAGAGGAGGTATACTCCTCTTTGGAGATTACACCCCCCTTCCACCGGGCGTACGCCACCCTTTTGGCAAGCAGGCATTCCCGGACACCCTTGGTGAGCCAGGGGGGCTTTTGGACACTCCTGCCCGCCTTGCTTCTTGTCGGGATGGACACCCCTTGGGCCCCGAGTATCGTTTCCTTAAGGAACGACCACTCCTCTTGGACGCTGAGTTCCTCTGCCCTCAAGGACCCCAGTTCCTCTCCCACTAATCTCCTCATCTCACTGAAGTTGGCCCTCCTGAAGTCTAGGGCCACCACCTTGCTGCGGGCCCTTGACACTCTACGCTGGATGGTGAATTCCAGCACGCGATGATCACTATTGCCCAGGTGGTCAAGAACCTGGAGGCCTCTTACCAGGTCGTCGCCTGCGGCCAGGACCAGGTCCAGCAGAGCATCTCCTCTGGTGGGACTGTGCACCTCCTGAATCAAGTGGAGGTCCTGCAACTCGGCCAAGAACCTCCTGGAGCGGTCCGTCCCGGCTGACTGCTCCTCCCAGCAGATGTCCGGGTAATTAAAATCGCCCATGACAACTACATCCCTTGCTTTTAGTGTCTCCGCAAGCTGGCCTGAAAATTCCCTGTCCAGCTCCTCCTCCTGATTGGGGGGTCTGTAATAGACCCCCACCGTCAAATCCCTCTCGCCTTGCCCCCCCTGGATCTTGACCCAGAGCACTTCAGCTCGCCCTTCCCCTGACCCCATACTGCTGGCAGAGGATGTGTAGTGCTCCTTGACATAAAGTCCCACCCCCCCCCCTGATACCCACAGGCATGCCAGAATAAGGAACATGGCTTTAAGTGAAGAGGTAATGTACAGGAAGAAAAAGTAACTATAGTATACTACATACAAGTAACTTTTTATATGTGGTTACATGTAGTTACCTGAAAGTCTGACCAAACTTATAGAAGTGATGCCACCAAATTTAATATTCACTTGTGCAAATACCTACAATGCAAATATCCAAATGACAAAACCAGCATGCACATGCTGATTAGGTTCTCAGAGCATATACTTGAGTTTATACCATTCTAGGCCCTTGGTGCTACTCAGGGAGAGCTTTAATGATACCTGTAGCAGTGCTAAGATGGCGTCTCCTCGTCTTCCTGCAGCCCCCTCCCCCGGCGAGTCTAGTTTAAAGCTCGCCGTACGAGATCAGCCAACCTGGAAGAGAAGATACGCTTGCCATTAGGGGAGAGATGAAGCCCATCCCGCCCCAGCAATCCCCCCTCCCGAAAGCATGGGTCGTTGTCAAGGAACCCAAGGCCTGCCCGGCGGCACCAGCTGCGTAAGCGCTGGTTGACCTCACCAATGCAGGTCCCATGCCTCTGTCCCCGCCCCCTCACCGGAAGGAGAGAGGAAAAAACCACCTGCGCCCCCGTCTCCTTCAGCCTGGTCCCCAGAGCCTCGAAGTCCCTCATAATACGGTCAGGGTTGCCTCTTGCCGCGTCGTTCGTACCCACATGGACGACAACCATGGGGTACCGGTCTGCAGGCCGGATGCAGACCGGTACTGCAGACCGGTACCGGTCTGCAGGCCGGATGCAGACCGGTACTGCAGACCGGGCTCATCAGGCCTGAGGCAGGGTGTTGGCACTGGGCTGGGCTGCGGGGCCTGCTGGGTCCCCTCCCTGTTGCCACCGGGCATGGAGGGGACACGGTCTTGTCCCTGCAGCATCCCAGCTCGGGGCACAGGGGGTAGACCCCATCTGGATGGGGGTTGGGAGGGGGCAGAGGATACAGCCCTAAAAGACCCAGGGGCCAGGCCTTACCAGCATGCATCAGGCCACGGCGGGTCCAGGCCCTGGGATCAGCAGCAGCATAAGGAGAGGGTCCAGGGCTGGTTCTGTGCCTCAGTTTCCCCTCCTGACCATGCATCGCCCCAGGTCACTGCATCCACAGCACGGCCTAGTGGTGGCTGCAGCGCAAGGCTGGGAGCCGGGACACCTGGGTTCTAACCTGGCTCAGTTCACACAGGTCCCGTCCTGTCTCTGTGCCTCAGTTTCTCCTCCTAGCAGTGAGCTCTCTGGCACATCTGTCACGGCCGTCTCCCGCTGTGGGCACCACAGATGGGTAGCTGATGCTGAGGGAGGCGGCTGCTCAGCATGGCTGCGTAGAGACGCCCTGTCCACCTCCCTGCTGCAGGAAGGACAGGATAGCAGGGTGCAAGAGGCCTGGACAGCGAAGGAAGAAGGGGCAGGGACCCCAGTTAGGGTGAGGCCCGGGGCTGGGCTGGCTGGACTGTATGGAGGCAGAGCAGCAGCTGCACAGGTCGTGCTCCAGCGTGGTCTCCCCATTGACCAGCGTGGTCACCACTGCTCGCCCTTCTCCCAGGAGGGTCCTCTAGGCACCCAGCTGCTGAGCCCCCTGCCTGGTCCCAACTCAACCTATGCCCCTCTCCCTGCTCTGGTGACAGACAGGGGCGGGACTGGGGGAGTTGTGGGGTGGGGGGAAGCCAATTGCACCTTCTAGCTCGGCACAGACTCATCCCTCCCCCCACCCACTCCTGTGAGCCCCATCGTGGCCCCGCCATCCTGTCCCCCCACCTCCTGCAGCGAATGCCTCCAGCCTGGTGGAAGGTACTTGGGAACAGTGCACTGACCTTGGGGTAACGGTGCATGTGT